CGCAACTAATTGTATATATGAATAATAAAAATTAAAAATATTTTAGTGCTGTTTGCGGCAAGTTCACAATTTATCTTTTATTAAAAAAATGACCTCCTAAATATTTATACTTTTGCAGGTCAATGTTCGGGTAAAAGATAAATTAAACACTTGCCGCAAACAAAACAAAAATTTTTTTATTTTATATTGTCCATCTGTAAAATTAGTTGCGGCTGGTTTATAGATGATTATACGGCTCTAGGCCCTAAAGCTCTCACATGTACGTCATCATGCACACTCTCATGTTCATACATATTCATGCACACAATATACATACAATAGTACAACATAACCCATAAGTTGCTACAGCAGAAAAAAACAGTTAAGTATATAGCAGAAAGTTGAAGGATGAAATAAATTAATTAAACAAGAAAAAGGAGAGTGTTTCTCATCATTGTCGAGTCCACAACGGCCAATGAGGAGACAAAAAGGCAAAATTTAAAGCCCAAGTTTCATTAAGATGGATTGTGTTGTTATAATCTAATGCCCAACGATTCAACGAACCCGTCTGCTTTTCCTGACGAAGTGTTCTCGCGGACTCTGATCTAAATCCGTATACTTAAGTATTCTTAAGTACTGCCTATACAGTCGTGGATTATCACCATCAGTTGACGAAAGTGAAACAAGGAAAATTCACTATGCTAGGTTAGAACAGATGCAACTCATTTGCACCCGCAAACTCTAATTGTACAGCTGAAAGGTGAACTGTCGAGTAATCTCTGGGCCTTTCTAAGGCAGGGAGATACGATAAATCAGGAACCATGGCCATGTTCACAAGCTTCGGCAGGAACGCGCCTTACCTGCGACAGCAGCTAGCTGCCCTCTTGGGCAACACCAGCATTAGTGTCAAGTTCATCTGTCTGGTCGTCCTCTTCTCTTACTGCCTCAGTTTTTCAGAACAGGCAATTCTAATACTTAGCGTTACTCCGGGTTACCTGCTGGCTCCTGCCTTTTGGGTTTGGACGGCCTTTACCAGTTGCTTTCTCGAGATTCACTTTTGGGAAGTGGTCGTTGACGTGCTCACTGTGGTGCTCTGTGGCAAGCTTATCGAGCCACTATGGGGTGCCATGGAGATGATGACTTTCTTTGCTATTGTCAATTTTGGTGATGCCATTGTGTCAGCTGTGTTCTATCTGGTACTCTATATGTGTACCAGTAACACAGATATGTTGTTTGATGTGCATATTCATGGTCTCACTGGATACATTGCAGGTTTGCTATTAATTTTTTTTTTCTTTTTTTTTCAATAAAGTATAGTTTTACAATTATTAACCTGACAGCAGTTAGAATTTAGCAATAGATTCTTTAAATTTAATACAAATTTTTTTCGTTTTTCAGGTGTCACCGTTGCAGTCAAACAAATAATGCCAGATCATATTTTAGTCAGAACACCAATTGGAAAAATAACCAATAGAAACATACCTCTTATGGTGTGGATCCTATACTTGATTCTTTATCTTTTTGGAGTGCTAGAAAGCACGCATCCAACAATGTTTCTCAATGGACTGTTAATCTCATGGTTGTATCTCAGGTTTTACCAAAGACATAATAATGGCTCTAGGGGTGATATGGCTGATAGTTTTACATTTGCTAGGTAAGCAGTTACTGAATAATAATTCGTTGACTTGAATAAACTTATACTGTTTATTACAGTTTCTTTCCAAATGTACTCCAGCCACCTATTGCAGTAGTTTGCAATACAATTTACGGCTTTTTCATAAGGATAGGTCTTTGTAAAAAGGTAGTCCACAGGTTTGACATGGCAAATACGTCACGGAGCTTATTCATCAGCATACCCGGATTTAATCCACATGACAGTGAAAGGCGAAGGTTTGTGTGCAATAGTACAGCCTATTTATCACCCAATTTAACTAAAATCAAGAATTATAAATATTTTTATGTCTTATTGATAAACTTTTTAAATTACAGGCAAATTGCATTAAAAGAACTGAGTGAAAGACTAAGTAAAGATCATGCAAAGCAACCTCTGCTACCTGATAGGGGAAAAAAGCATTCACCAGTACCTTCTGCGGTTGCGGTTCAAATACCAGAACCTGCGGTATCGAAGCCTTTGCCTTCTCCTCTCATACCGCAGATCAACATAAATATTCACAGTCACCAATCGCCGAGTGGTAGTAACACGTGATCTTTAGTTAAGGACTCATCAACGAGTCCTGATGAATCTTCTGTCAATGAATGAAAGTCAGAGTGTAAGTATGAAATTAACAATAAGATTTTTATGGGAGTTAGAGAGTGAAATGTTCCCAAGTGAACAAATTATCTGATGCAGAGCTAATGGCAATATTCAATGAGATGACCAAGCTTTGATATTTTTTCACACTCAGTATGTGTATATATCATTGTATGTGAATATGAATTAAAGCTTTAATTTAAAACAATTAATTTAACAGAGATGTTTATTAAACGGTAGAAGGTACGTGATTAAATTCAAATGACTTAATGAATAAATGCCATGTAACACTAAATCATAAAACTTTTTTTTTTAAGTTGATATAAAATGAGAGGATAAAGACATTTTACATTTATAAGTAACAGTTTTTAGATACATCATTCATTTACAAAAAACAGCAATCAATTTTTTTTCATGTACAAAAACACTGTTTACTTTGCTACTCAATATTTTTATTTTTATTTAACAGAGAGATAGTGCATTAGTCTCAACTTTTCTACGAAAAAAAAGAAGAAAAAATTATATTTCAAAGCTGTACAAAATCGATGTTAAAATAAAAGGTAATAAAAAATTAGATTTATTGATGTTATAATGTAAATATCGTAGCTAAATTCTTAAGCAAAATTTTTCATAGCAAATGAAAAATTTTTATGATCAGAACAAAAGGTATTTTGTTTAAAATCTTATTTTTTATCAAGTTAAAAAGTCAATATAAATATATTAAATTGAGGTAGATGACTTGCAACTCATTCATTCGTTCAACAGCTTAAAACGAAACAAGTTGATTAAAAATAAAATATTGTCATTTTAAATAATAGTATTGTTAGTAATACTTAAACGTAATTGTTGGTAATTAGTAATAGAGCGTGTAATATAAAATGTAAAAATCAAAGACTTTTACTAACTAAAATTATCAGACAATCAGTTCAACTTTTTTTTGTCATAAGATTGAAATAATCTAGTGTACATTGGAAATTTTTAAGAATAAAATCATCCAAGTTTTAAATACCTACTTTATGTGTTGTGAATGAGTTGCAGTCTAAAAATACAAAGACAAATGTGGGTAATGGAAAACAAAGATACAATCGAAAAATTCTTCCAAAAAAGTTAATTAATTCAGCTTAACTATGGTAACAAGTAAATGTTGGACAAAGCTGTTAATTCATGTATATAGTCAAAAAGTGTACGAAAAATTTAGTTTTATATAATAGTTTCTGAATCGTTATTGATAATACTTTTTGTACATATTTCAGCTATATAAAATGTATCATTGTTATTTCAATTATTTTATAAAAACAGTACCTCTGGGTTGTTTAGTTAAACTTTTAATTTTTCTTATTGTAAATAAAATATTGAAAGATGTATTAAAGTGTATTTCGAAATCTTGATGATTTCCAATAATATTTCCAATAAAGTTAATCACTTATACTTGTTAAACGATAAATTGCAAATTCTCATAACTTTTTGGTACAAAACTCCTATAGCCTAAAAAAAATATTCTGGTTTTGGGTGCGGTACTTATTAATAAAATACTTTGTTATTTTTCATTTAGTATTTAAAAAATTCATATTTGATCCATTTATTTTTATTTCTAGATGTTACAATTTTGAAAAATGAAATACAGTGTTAAAAAAAATTTGTAGTACATACAGTACTTCAGTTAAAATTGTATATACAATTCCATTACTCTCAACTAAAATTATTATTTTTTAAAATATTGATCATTTAATCAGCTTCAAAAAATTCTACTCCTGTGTGATATAATATATTATATACATAATAAAGTTTTTCATTAACTTAAATTCACATAATTTTTTTCTGTTAAAACACGTTTGTTGCGGAAAATTGATAGTACACTTTGTTAAAAATTGAAATATTGTTAATCGAACGTCTCGTTAGCATTCACTTCACTCGCCTACATAGATTTCACTTGTTGCTGTAATCCATTTCCACAAACTCCATTCGCGAGTACCATCCATTGTCTTGTTTTAAATGAAACTTAAAATTAATTATTTTTGTCACGGTATAATACACGCGAAATACTTGTCAATTCAAAAAATTGATGCACATCTAAAGCGTGTCTCTCAAAAGATAATTGAACAAACAACACCTTCACGATCTCGTCTTTATCTATAAAATTGTTGTTGGTGCTGAGCCCACTGCTGTTGTGGCGGTTGAGGTGGTTGTTGAGGAGCATATTGTGCCTCTTGGACTCCATAGGCTGATCTAGGTGCAGCAGCAACACCGTATTGCTGCTGAGGCACTGCATACCCTAGTTGGACAGGATGTGCTCCATAGTATTGTTGCGCTTGGGCTGCTGGTGGAGGTGGAGGCGGACCTACATTTACTCCATAACCACCATAATTGACTTGTGGAGGGGGTGGTGGAGGCTGGCCTGATAGCACAACATGTCTGTAATTGAAAAAAAAAATTGTTTTTACTTGTCTTTTGAAATTATAAACGGAGAGCTATGAATAATTAAATACTTCATACCTCGTCGTCAAACTGGGATTAACATGATTATCAGGATGATAGTAATGATGACTCTGCTGTTGCTGCTGTATTTCATGAGCAGCAATAGTTGTTGTATCCTGTATAGGTACAGTTATTAAGTTCGAGCGCATTTGCGAATTCACAGATTGCTGCTGTTGCTGCTGTGATGAGTTTTGAGAATAGTGACGATGAGGTGGGGGAGCTTGTCTGTGATCCATCCCTGAAGACTGTTGATTGACGCGAGGGTCGTTACCCATGGCAACTGGTGGACCACTCATGTGTCCACCAGATCCCATGGATTTCATGCGATTGCTTGGGTTACTAGATTTGGCTGGCATTAGCTGGGCATCCAAAAGCATATCTGGGCCCTTTGCATGCATGTATGCTGATGGACCATCAAGCTGCATACTGGGAACTGGTTGAGGTGGTGGAGCTGCTACATGTCGATGATTAATATGAGCCTACAAAATATTAAGTAATTTGTAATACCTTAACGTTAAAGAATAATTATATATCTGATGGTTGAAAATAGTGTTATGACAATGATTTTACCTGTAAATCTCTTTGGCTAAGATATGTCCTGCGACATCCAGCATTACCATATCTGGTACCCCCATGTGTACACATAAATACAGTACCAAGGCCAGTCTGTTCAACTCTAGACACTTTTTCCATACACCTGGGACACACTTTGTCTTCTCTTTTAGCACACAACAAGCAAAATACATGTTTACAAGGTATCTGTAAATCACCAATTGAACAGCTGTTAAAATTATTTAATTTTTTTTTTTTCATTAAGCACCACAAGCTGATTATACATAGCAAATTTAGAAAATAAGAAACAGTATACACATTGCACACATGTGACATATTATACACAACACCTTTCAATGGTAATTCAATTTTTTTCATGAATCTACTTTCTCATTTACTAAATTTCAACATGTCTTGCATAAATGCACAGCTTATAGTACAAAAGTTTTTTTAATAAAAGACCACTTCTCACCATTCTGCCATATATTAAAATAGGCTTTAAACATTTATCACAGCAGTGTATCATAGGATTCAAAACTTTTTCTCCAATCAAGTTAACGCGGTGGTCCCACCTCAACCTGAGCATAGGTTCAGGTGGTCCTCGATTGATTGTTGTGAATGTTGGGGCTTCTAACTGAGAGATGTCAGCTTCCAAATCAAATTGTTGTTCCACTGATGGCTGGTGCACTACTGGCTGAGCTGGCTGCTTAGTTGGGGTTTGTACTACCGGTGATGTGTGCTGCTGTGCTACAGGCGAGGTCTCTTGGGCTGGCTGTGTTTGTGGTGCTTCCTCTAGCTGCTCCGTTTCAGGAGCACTTGTGTCCATTGTACATTCATCTCCTGTATGAGGCATATCCTCGTCATCGCTCTCAATTACCTTTAATGCATGCACAATTATTAATTAATCGTAAAGTTGTAGAGCCACATAGTAAACAACACTACCTTTACAGCTTTTTTAGTACGTCCTCTGGCTCTTCCTCTACCTCTGCCTCTCGTCCTTCCTCTACTCTTGCCTCTGTTCCTCTTGCCATTTTCATCATCCATCTCCATTTACTAATTAATCATAAATATAGTATTTTATTAATAATTAACAGCTGTACAATAACTGTCGTCAAAATACAACATCAAGATCAAAGTTTGTCATGATGGAAACATCCACAATCTCACAAATTAAAAACAACTAGGGAGTGAAACACTTTGAAAATAAAATATTACAAAACCAGTTAATCTGACGGCAGGATTTACTTGAAAAAATATGCATTCAAAAATCCATAACTTCAATAATCACAGTCAATAATTGAAAATATTGAAGGTTAGGTATGTCATGGGTGAAAGAGAGGATGGAGGTCAGGATTACATCCCATTTACATTCTATATTGCTTCCTATCTTTTCATTAACTTCAATGATGCTCCTTGGCAAACAAAACGCTTCAAATTCAATGAAATAACAACAAAAAACCGCCTGTCAAACTCACAACTGATTAATGATGTCTATATGTTCTTCCTACGAATTAAATTTATCTGAATTCATGCCCTCCTGGGAAAAAATTTTCTTGAATTATTAATACACACATCTGTGCATACATATATACGAATCCACGCACGTAAGCACTATAAGTAGTTAAGACAGTCTTAAGTGTCCTAACTCCTAACTCCAAAATTAAGGAATTCGGGGGGTAGTGGGACTATTACTTTACTATTAGTGGGTGGTTGGCGGTTACGGATCGCGCGCACAAATGACTCAATTCACTTGATAGGAATATGGGATATAAGTAAGTATTGGACATTAGACGATTATTCGATGTATCTCCATCGATAGGTAATGATACCTTTGTTAAAAATTCGACAAGAAAAAAATCTGTGTTCAAAATTTCCAATATTTTTACCTCTTACCTGTAAAATAACTAAAAAAAGTTAACGTTAACATACTTATGTATACTACTTATTTGTGTAAGTATATCATGGGTGCAGTGAAAAATTGACACAAAAATGTATAATGCATAACGAGTATGTTATTAAAATTCGATTAATTATTTTTACAGCTCTCGTGAAAGCGCACCGTGAATTGAACAGCATAAATTAGTGCAGTATTATTTTTCTTCCAAAGGAATCGATTACTTTGATATATTTTATAAACGTGCTCCTTTTATGCAGGTGTATATAAACATGCCATGTCGTCCCTCGATAGTTATGTGTAAAGAAAAATCATTAACTAAAGATACTTTTTTTTCCAAACCTTATTTTAATAATCAAAATTGCTAACCGTACAGTAGTTATTTCTTTATCATGAAAAAAAAAGTTCGATTCTGAAATAAATTAAAATGAGGTTTTATATTTGACACTGAAACTATAAAGATTTGTTATTTATATTGAGCGAGTAAATTTTCGTGTTCGTGTAGACTCCATCTAAAGTAGATTTTTTCCAGTTGTGGCTCATACAACTTGTCAAATCGTTTTTTAAATAGACACATATTTCTTCACTGTACGTACCTATATATACGGATATTACTATAAACTTATGGGTTACATAAAAAACCGGTTGCAAAAGTGTAAAAAAAAAATCCCGAATTCTTATAGGTAGGAGAAAATAAAAGTAAAAAATGTAATAAGGTTTTGAAGTAAAATTAATATCTCATCGTGTGGTTATAGCGCACAGAGCGCAAAATGAGCGATGATTCAATAAAGGACGACATTCCAGCACGAGCTAGTTCGCGGTGGGGCAGGACAATCGGATTTTCCGAGAATAGCGCGTTCGTGCCCCCTCGATGTGTTGCATATTGTGTGAGCTGCAGTTATATGCATAGGTACATACATGGCTATCGTGATGTAACGCTTTTATTAAAAAATCTTCTCACGTATAAGTATGTGTGTACACTTATGTAGGTACAAGTGAAATAACGTAATCGCAAGTATGAATCATAATAAACTGTATATGCGCGTATTTCAGGGCTATATACCGGTACCGAGAGGGGCAGAATGGGTGCCTATGTTAAGACAGCGCGTAAAAAGTAAATTTCTTAAATTTCTCTTGCAGTGCATTGAGAATCCGACGAGTTGCAAAGATGTGCAAATGTAGAGGATAAAACCAAAAAAGGGGAAGAAACAAAAAAGCCTACATACAAAATAATTTATTATTAAAATCATACATTGGTGGGTGAGTAGCCGATTATAAGAAGACAATTAATCTATGATGTACAAGCGGTATTTTTTTTTATTCATTATTTTTTTTCTAAATACACAATTTTAACTTTGAAACTAAAAATATACCGCCATATGTACTATTTTTTATATTTAATTATCTGAATGTTGCAGAGTATTTTTCTTAGTTTTGACAACAAACTGTGAATGTAAATAACTGAGCAAAAAAAAAAAAAAAACAAATGGCGTTTGTTTACATTGCTATAAATATTTAAAAATAGTACATGGTAAATTATATACACTGAATGACTGAAATAAATGGTGACAATTATATTTTCACTCTCTGGGTTACTGTGTGCATATGAAATACAGTAAACTTACACATCCTTTTTTTTATTATAACGGCAGTACGGCACCTCTCGTTGTCATGGTTACCGCGGTCATTTTAATGATTATGCTATATATATTTAGCGAAGTAACAACGAGGAGAGGGTACCCTGTCCGAAATCACAAAAATATTCGATGGATGACCAGTACCACCACGCGTATAATTGGGATCTCGTCATTCGGTAGGCTTGTTTCAGAAAAATCTTATTTTAGTCCAAACAATGATTACCTACTTTATCGTATCAACATTATGTAGATACAAATTTAAAAAATAAAAATACCAAATGAACAGGGGCAACCAAACAAATCGAGTATAGGTACTGCAGCCGTTGGTGCATTCAAGCACAAGCGGCTGAGGGGAAGTACCCCCCAACACGGCTCCCACTGGAGAGAGGGAGGGGTACGGAGAGGGGGGAGACGCGGCAACTCCTTTTTTTAAAAGAGACAACAAAACACACAAAAAAACATACCCTATACCGTCCCTACCTTACAATGCAGTCAGCGGCGAACTCGCACACTGGACTAGTTTTTCTGGGTTGGGTCTCTCTTCTCGGCGTCGGTTTGACTTTTACCTCGACCACGGCGTACTCATAATAAAGTTATCAATACCAACACCATTGACTGATCGGTGTGTCGGGTGGTTTAATTGAATAATAAGAGAAGACGTAGCTGCTTTGAACAAATCAGGATGTCCTGCTGCACAGGCGAGGACGAGGACGAGCAGCAGCAGGAACGCTCGGGGGCGCCGCGCGTCCGCGGCTGTACCGACGTCTTCTGGCTTTGTCTCTTTATCCTCTTCTGGGCTCTGATGGTAGGACGACTATTTTTATTTCGTGCACGATTCATCATGCTCTCATATAATGTACCTATGTCTAGTCTTTTTTGGAGTCGTCATATCCAAAATCATTAATTATTTTTTTTTTTTTTTTTTTGGCGGACGAGTACGTGTATTTTTGTATCTCCTGAGTTGTATATTATTATTTAAGTATAGGTACTTATAAGGATGGTGTCGTTGCGAGTTGTTGAGGCATGTTTTGTTTGGAGCAGGGAGATTTAACTACCTCACGACCCGATTATTTTTTGTATAACTTGTTAGTTTAGACTTCTAAACACTTTTCGTTCTTACTTTTTTAACATTGTATTAACACTATTATGTTGATGTAAAATAAGATTTACCGAAAATACATTTAAATAACATTTAAATTTAAATTTGGTTTGACACCAAAAGTTTTAAGACTGCATGATTGAATTAATTATCACCTTTAGTATAAATAGTTTTTTTTTCTCTCAATATTTTTAGCATCCGCAAAATTACTTGCGTTTTGAAGTTGATACAAAACTAAAACATACGTATTTATATTTAACATATTTTACTTTTAAAACCAGTGCATCGCGTTATTGTTTCATGTATTATGTGCTTTACATAATATTAAAAATTTATATGAATATTCCGATTGAAATTTTAAAAAATGACACAATATTTTCGAAATTTTCTTAGAGCAACTACATTAAATAATTTAACGAATTCCATTTTTTGTGTACCTCATCATATTTTTTATCAACGTAAAAAAAATTAATGGATTTTTAATAGACGTTGACTTATATTGATTTTTTTTGTAAGCCGATCTTATCTGTAATAGTCGATCTTATGTTTTAGTGAATATATATATTTATTGATTAAACAGTATACATCATAATGTAATTGTTTAATATAGCATAGTCTACAAGCATTTTCATACTCCTAAATAATTACTGTGAATAGTCAATGACACAGAAGTTTTCTTTGCATAGAATTTCTGTACAAAACATGAATAGATTTTCTTTTACACAGTAACAGAATTCATTGGATTTTAAATGTTGCTACTTTTTTTAAACACATTTTTACAGATACTTTTAGCAGTTTTTTCGTTTGTATATGGTAGTCCTATCAGGCTTATCCATGGATATGATAGTTTTGGAAATGTCTGTGGTGTCAAAAACAATCAGAAATTCGGAAATATGGAACTTTCTGGACAAGACACCAGTGACAAGCCGTAAGTAAAATATTTTCTGATAAAAAAAAAACTTTTTTTTTTTTTATGTACAAACAATTCAAAAAATCTCTTTGTCCAGGTATTTATTCTTCTTGGATGTTGCTAGACTTAAACAGTCTTTGAAAATATGTGTTAAAAAATGTCCCAATAGAAGACTTGAAAATTTAAATGATGTGTGCCAGTTCTATGAGGATACTGGATCACAGCTGTGTCATGACAAGCCAGGTAGTGGCTTTAGTGCCTGCAAGGACATAGGTAATACTAAAACCACAACTGGCTCTTGTCCAGTGTTCCCTGTCTATGACAGCAAGCCTATACTCAATAGATGCATTCCTAAGGCTATTGGTGAGGTCGCAAAAAATATAGCCACTAATCTTTATGGCTTGCTCAATTCCTGGGATGCCATTCAGCAGATCTTAGGAGACTTGTACAAGACATGGAGAGAGATACTAGCATTGTCACTCTTATCTTTTGGTACAAGACTTTTTAATACTTGATCAAAATTTGTCTTTTTACTAACGAAAAAAAATTTAATTTTTTATATTTTTGTCAGTTTTGTCACTGTTCATGATAGCTATTATACACATGCTGGCAAGTTTTGTTACTTGGATTGTCACAATACTTGTTGTTATTGCGTCTTTAGGTACTTACATAATCATGTTTTTTTCCACATATTTTTATTATAGTATTACCATTTTATAATACTTTCAATGTAAAATAAATATTTCAGCTGGTACTGGCTTATTGTGGTACACATACGTTGATATAAAACATCAATTAGATTCTACTCCACCAGAGGAACTTTTGGAAGAGTCTGTTCGCAATGAAAAAGCATTTTTAATCTTAGCAATAATCGCGTCTGTAATCACTGTAAGTCTTGTTTAATCCAATTACAAATACTTACAATTATAATGTTACAATCATTTAAAATTTTTATTTTAATGTAATTCTATAGGTAATATTGTTCTTCCTCATCTGCTTTATAAGAAAACGCATCAGCTTTATGGCTGCTTTGTTCAGAGAAAGTGCAAAGTGCTTGGCAGAACTGCCAGGGCTTTTTTTCCAACCACTCGTTACTTTTTTGGCTTTGCTTGTATTTTTCGCGTTCTGGATAACAGTTGGATTATGCCTGGCTACTGCAAGTAAGTTGTTTCTTCTTGTTAGATTTTTAACACTTGTACTAACGCACTTATTATTTTTGTAGATTATCCAGGTACAAAATCAATAAATTCTATTGATACATTAGATGTGAATGCATCCTTTACTACTAAACCTATAGATGAAAAACAAAAACTATTAGATATTCCTTTGGGTCAATACAAAAGTAGGTATTTTGTTCCTGTATTCAAAAAATGAGCTGAGTTATGTATAATTTATTATATACAATTTATTATGTTTAGCATTTACTCTTGTGGAATATGTCAATCCCACTTGGGTGAGTTACATGTGGTGGGTCTACATTATTGGTTTTATTTGGGTTACTGAATTTATTGTTGCCTGTCAAGCTATGGTTATTTCTGGTGCTGTTGCACATTGGTATTTCAGGTAGATTGAATGCTTTTTTATAATTCATAATTTTTTTTTTTTTTCATATTCCTTAATCAGTGATGTATTTTTTACAGAGGTAAAGATAGTAGTGCATCTCCAGTTTGTTCATCATGGGGCACACTTATTTCTTATCATCTTGGCACAGTAGCTTGTGGTTCTTTGCTTATAACAATATTTAAAATACCGCGATTGATTCTTACTTATTTACGTGCTAAGTAAGTTACATTGAAAATATTGATTTCAGTTATTCTGTATTCAATTTTTTAATGATTATGTAAACAAGGCTTATACATTAATTTCTTATTTTAGATTCGAGAAGACTAAGGAAACTTCACCCTGTGCTAACTGTGGACTAAACTGCTGCATATGTTGCTTCTACTGTTTGGAAAAATTTATTCGTTACATGAATCAAAATGCTTACACCGTTGTGGCAATTGAAGGAACCCACTTTTGCAATGCGGCACGAATTGTAAAGTTTAAAAAATACATCAAGAAAAACCAATAGATAAAGTAAAGAAATTATAATTTTGAATCTATCCACTTTCCAGGCATTCAATACAATCGTAAGTAACGCTGTTCAAATAGCTGTGATAAATGGAATTGGTGACTTCATTTTATTCTTGGGTAAAGTTTTTGTAACTGCTGCCACCGGAAGTATTGGCCTATTGTTCCTACGACAAGATCCTAGATTGCATTTTTACGCAGCACCCATACTTGTCATCTGCATCTTCTCCTTTTTTATTGCTCACTGTGTGATCTCACTTTACGAGGTACAAACAAAAATAAGTAGTCATAATTGGATAAAATCTTTATGGCTTAAAAAAAATAAAATTTTTCTATTTTGCAGACTGTAATCGATACGCTATTCTTATGCGTATGCGAGGACAAGAACCTCAACGGCGATAACGGCAAATGGCGTCAATCTGCATTAGCCCAGCTAGCCAATGATACTAATGGCCAGCAATCTCACGAACTCGCTCCTATGAACAGCTAAGCAATTTCAATTTGCACGAATTTACTTTCCAATGAACGTTGTCTAATGCGATATTTAGATATACAATGGTGATACAATATACCAAGTTGTTGTCGATAACTTTTGTTGGAAAGTAATGATGATGGGCATTTGATGTAGCTTTTGGCAGCGTTTGATCCTATTTCTATGTGTATCAATGGAAAAAGCTTTCATTCTTCCATATAAAATTAACTCTAAGTATATTTTCTTAAATCCGAGTTACAAATATCTATTATATGAAAATCAGCTATTTTTATACAAAAACTGTGTACGCATAATTTACTGGTATTATTTGAAAATTTAAATTAGTGCTTGGTTATTATCAAACTTTTATACAACTTGATTACTTATTTATAGGAATCGGTACTATACCCAGGCATATGTGCAAAAGACAAAAAATCTGAAATATTTATCGTCCTGTCCAAGGTATTCTAAATTCTTTCCAGAAATTCCGCATAATAATCAATCAATCCTTTTTTTTTCACAAAACTTTTAAAGGTCAAAGTTTCCTAAATGACGTTTTTTCATGATAAGTGGTTTAAAAAATTAATATTAATCACTCGGCATTTTGCGAAATGGTAAAAAGAATCAAATCTGGCTCCATCACTACGCCCTCCTGTTTTAAAAACTTTCAACTAAATGATGCCGTTCTGCCTCCACTCACGTCTTACGTATGCCTAAATTTTTTTAGTATTTTCTTAAATTTTTTACAATAATATAGATGAAAATATAAAAATATTTATTTTTTAGACAAAATTTTTAGATAGTATATTTATATTTGTAGTTAGAATGTACTGAATCGTTTTTTTACAAACACTTAATAATACTTAAATGATTTTTGTATTTCTCTATATATTTCACACTGTATTCAGTGATGTGTGTATCATGAAACTTTGTGTGTCAATGGTGTTACAAGTTTAAAAGCAAAATATTAACAGTAGCTCTAAGATGTTGAAATTTTAATAAGAGGCTTGCTCGAAAAGTTGGTATTTACTGCATATTATATATTTGTGGGTAAATGTTTGATTGTACACTACTTCTTTTAAGAACTTCAAGAAATGCACAATCAGTTTGAAACATTAAAACTGTGTTATTTTCTGGGTATTAAACGAATGGTACAAAATATTTTACTAAAAGCTAGTAAGTTTCAATTTAAAAACAGTGCGCATATTGTATTTGTATTTTTTTAATAAATATGTACAACTTTGTATACATGCATGTTTTCAACACTGAAATATTTTTTACAATTATATCTAGTTATACTTAATTTAGGAGGTAAAAAATTGTAATCCAATGTGATTTTGCTGAAATTTATTAATTTTATGATTGTAAAAACTGTACAGATCTTTACAATGTACTTCAAAAATTCGAATGTGAAAAATCGTGTATACACATTATACAAAGGGGTTCAGAGCAAAAATTTTAGATCAAAATTCCGCTGTGAAATTAAGCTTTCAGAGATATATTTTAAAAAATTTACACAAAGTATCATGATTCGATAAAGGATGGAAACTACTCATTAAATTCTGACTGTATTTTGGCTCTGCACAGTTATGAATTTAATTTAATAATTATATGGATTTTTTTTGAAGAATTAGATTTTATTAATNCCTCCTATATATTTAGACTTTTGGGTAAAAGATATACTTAAATTATCAAAAGTTATACGTGAATTTTTCATGTCTGATATGGGATATTGTATACTGTAATGTTTTGTCTTATTTTCATTTAAGTGATCTTGTGTACAGTGCGATATTTTTTTAATGTTATTGGTTAAGCTAAGAAAAAAAAAGAATACTGTACATACTGTCATATAAGCTTAAGGGTGTCATAGAAATAAAATTTTTTAAGTATTGAAAAAAAATAAAAATTTATTTACTTTTTTTTATCAACTAAATCTTTCTTTTTACTTTCCTTCAAATAATCACTTTTGAATATATCATCTAAAGGATTCATATCATATGACTTCTCTGGTTTGTTGGCTTTGGATATCATTTTCTGTTGTATTCTATCTTCATATTTATAACCAGCCTTCTTAGATATTGCTTGTCTAAACTGTGATTATATAAAAAAAGGTATTGTTGAAAATATCGAAATTTTTTTGCTACATCGTAATTCTTTATGACATTTAAATTCTAGATTACAATCAATTGAAATTTACCTTGGCAGGAGAGACGTAATGAGGATTATCCCACAAAACTTCACCAACAAAACTACCAGCAAAAATTTTGATTGGGTTCAACACAAATCGTGGCCCTATTTCTGCGAGCTCACCATCTTCTTTAATGATTTGATAGTTTCTGAACCATATTCTATTATCTAAAACACTAAATGTGTACACATGATCAAAAAAAGGTTGACTCTTGGGATGGTGATTAGGTACTCCAAATATTTGCGAAAGCAGTTCTTTTAAAATCGATAAGTGTGGCTTGGAATTAAAATTTTCATCAAATGAGAGAAGTGGCCTAGAACCTCTCAAGCAATTTCCAGTCAGCTTTAATTCACCCATTGTGTAAACTAAAAGAAAGAAGATCAATTTAAGAACTATACCATAGTGTTCATATAAAAATCTAAACTGTATCTTACTATTCTCAACAAGAAATTTAACAGAAGGCCCCTTAGGTATGTTTGACATCCACATGTACAGATCTTTTTTCCTGCGTCCTTCAAACAGGATTGTTTTGTTACAATTTTTCATTTCACAGATTTCATTGACAACCAGGAGATTCTTAGTACGTTCCATTTTAGATTCAGGTCGATGATGAGGCATTAGAGTTTTTATGTCTTCCATTAAGTGTCTATCTCTGTGATTGATTCCTCGAGATGCAAATACCAAAACACGCTGTCTGTTTACCCATTTTTCCTGATCAAGTATCAACACAAAAAATTAAATCACTTATATGATCGCTGTTGCGAGCATGGGAATTCATACTAGTATTTCAAAGTAAGGTAGAAATAGATTTTAAAAAACGAGTAAAAACAATGATTTTATTGGCAATTATTTAAAAAATAATAAGGTTATGCGGACCAACCTTTTTTGTCACGAGATCATCGGAAAATCTTTTGGCCGGTGGCAGTTCCAAAACTTTCTCCTGTTTCTCTTGAGCCTCTGCCTCTTTACGCTTTCTTTTAAGCGATTTTTTTGCCATTCTTTATTTGTTTTTTTTTTCGCTGTGTCTATTCGCACCAAATCCACGTAATTACGTGGATATAAGGTTAGGAATTTTAAAGAAAAACGCTACTTTTTCAAATGAAGTATGTCCACGTAAAGTGAAGTTCGCAGATTGCGTGCCTATAAGAGAACATGTGTGTGTATGAAAGCACAATTTTTATTTTTACTTGTCTGATACATAAATAAATATGTATATATCTGTGGCGTCTCACATCTCTCGCGCTTCAGGCTCTACTCGCCAGGTGGCCAAGCCCCTAATAGTTCGCTCCCGTCAAGCGGCGAAATTCCCGAACGATTATATAACCGCGATCGAGGT